AATCGGATTTCTGGTTAATTGTAAAACTGTGAGTTAATAATGAAGGTAAACATAGTGGTAGCTCCTTGATTTGGTTTCGATGTAAGTACCTATGAAATGGACATGTCATTGAATATAAGACCTCATCTTCATGGGTAAACATGATTCTGAGGTGCATCATCTCCTTTTGAAAATTTTCTATTTAAATTGAGTTAGTAAAATTAAACTGGATATGGGTCCAAATATGATTTAAAATATGTTGTGAAGTCTCTTAATAAACAAAAATGTAGCAAATTTGGGAGCAAGGCAAAGTTTAGAGGTTCAGAGAATGTTTTTTTTTATTTTTTTTTTTAGACTCCTTTTCGGCAAGTGCTAAAATTTTGGCTCACCTGCAAGTAACACAACTTTATTTGATTTTCAATGCAGCCGATCACATGGACCAGTGGGCAATTAAAATTTAGAGCCGAGTTTTGGTAAATACGCGATGTGAGATGTTCGACTTTGATCTCAGTATTATGAACTAACAATATGTTCTTAAAGTGGAAGTTGGGAGTGGGAAGGAGGAGGTTGGAATTTGTTGATTTTGTTACTTGTTGACTTCAAATTTCCTCTCGACTGGCTGAATTTTGAACTCTCCATCTTTCGGTAAACTGCGACTCTCTGAACCTTTTTTGAAGCTGGTGGGATTAATAATATATTTAAAATCCCTCGAGACCTTAGTCACTGGTCATAATTTATCGCCTGAGTTGGCGAAAGGGAGGAGTCAGAGGATTTGGGTTGTGTTGCGATAAAATTTAACAGATCCTCTGTATGAGTCGCTACAAAAAATGTGGTCTTGTGTAAGGGGAAAAACTCTAAGAAACGTGAATTAAAATGGGATTTTGAACGATTGAAATCGGATTTCTGGTAAATTGCAAAACTGTGATTAGAAGATAAACGTATACTTATCCTTCTAAACAATATTTTTTGTAAAATATTTTGAAATTTATATTATCATCATGGACTGGGAGATAATATGGTCGCGGTTAATTAATATCTGGGAGGCACGGGTTCGAATCCCGTCTGCGCCTTTATTATTTTTAAGGCTTGGTGAAAGAGTTCTAACATAGAGAATACGTCACAGCCTGGATCGGATTAGCTAAACAAAGGAGGAGCCTACAGTACTGCTATAAGCGTGCGGACCAATTAATATCAGAGATCAACAACGAGAGACTGATGTCAAAACTGCAAAATATGAGCGGCAGAGATAAAACAACGAAGGGCATGGTCTCATAAGGAGCGCTGTGCGAGAATCGGACACTTTTCCGGCACATGTCAAATAGGAGCACCCTCTTGAGCCATACCCTCTAAGGCACCAAACCCCAGGCACACCATCTTGATGCCAGTTCAGGGGAAGAGCATGAAATTGATCTCTTTACAGTTGATATCAAACAAGAAGTACATGCTCAAACTGTCTACAACACTTCGCAAAATCCAAGAGGCGCGGCCCTGGGGCGTAAATTGTCCAGCCCCTTGGAACTGGGTGTGATCAAGGACATAAACAAAGCAATCATGGTGCAGTTACATACTGCCTCCACATGCAACACACTGCCAGATGAAATTGCTCAATCGTTGATCCCTATAGGAAGGACGAAATAAACTATCTCACCCACAACAAGGCAACCTTATTCAACTATGAAAACTCTTAGCTCAAACTTATGGGTAAAAGGTGAGCCACCTCTCCTTTCTAGCTCAGAATGTGCAAAGCTGGCACTGGTTAAGATCCCTGCAGATGGATTCCATTGACGTGGAACATCACATAGTACCGGAACACTCTCAAATCCCCATCCTGACGCCTCAGAACAGCTGCCAACAGCCGAGATCTCGCACGCCCGAGACATCCCTTTGCCACCGGAACCGATACTTGCACCACACATATTTGATTCTTTCGCATCCAAACATATCGTTTCCATCCCGCCTTGCTACGATCACGCTGGAGTGGGTTCTTAAGAGAGGATGTCAGCATCCATCAGACAAATTTGAAATATTGTGGCAAGTCGCCCAAAATTCGTTTTCACTATATATGCCCATGCTCGTCAAAAATCTTAGGAATAATTGTGAATCCAATTATCTCGGTACACATGTTTAATTTGCATACTGAGCTAGTAAAATGATTTGTGTAATCTATACGTTTTTCAAACTCACACTTGCAGGTGCGTGTAATGACACGCAGTTTGCGTGTTGCGCGCGTGCAGCCTTTTAACTGCATACATTTTAAACTGAATATTTATTCATGGAGCTGGTAAAGCACGCAAAAAGTGTCAATTCCTACTAGAATATAGAATTATCAAAAAAGTATAGACTAGAGTTAGAAGGGGGACGACTAACTCTGTGTATCAACCAAGCTGTTTTTTAAAGGGTAAAGTTATTTTACACCCTAATTCATTGGATTTTGCGCTAAAAGCTCAAAAATCGGTCTCCCCAGAGAAAACGCACATCACTTCACTTACGACTAAATTGAATGCATAAGTGTCACGCAAACCAAAAGAAGGGCAAGTTTAGAGACAAGATAGGATAAGATGGAAAGTTCTCACTCAAGATGGCTACACTAATCGGCTTTTCATTATCAAAAGTTCCAAAGGATATATATAGTTGCCATACATCATTGATCTCCCACCATTCAGCTTCACTAGTTTTCCAAAATAACCAAGCGATGTTGACGGGTAAACGAAAACTGACAACGCAGATCACAGATCCATAGGGCAATTTTATTAACATGGCCTTATCTTTCCTTAGCGTTTTCACAATGTTCACGCAACGCTGTGGTTCATTCAACAACTTTTGATATAAAATCTTACTCAAGGTGCTGGCTTGGCAAAACCGATCTGCACTGAAGTAAAAAGTCTGTTCAAAAAAAATATACAGACGAAGGCAATCTCGAACGCGCTGGGCTTCTAGGCAGTATGAAACGATGCCTTTGAATGATATAGGGTAGTGATAAATTTGACGCGATCGTCAATTCGATAAACCGAAAAAAAGCACTGACTATATGGTTACTTGACTAAACCTCGGCTGCAAGACGGCTGAAGACACCTCACAACCAAACTCTACTTCAACTCAACTCTGTTTTCAAACGCTTTTGCACTATGGTCTGAGGAAATAATTATAGAGGGGTTAATTTCATATCATGAAACATTCAGACGAAGAGACGAAGAGGGGCGCGATCGCGAGAGGTTAAAAAGACCAATACCCGCAATATGATTTTGACAAATTTACCCTCTTGAAACAGACTAGTAGCGTATGTAGAATGGACAAAATTATGTGAAATTGGCCAAATGAACAAAAGGAACGTTTGTCAATTTTTTTTTTTTTTTTTTTTTTCTTTTTTTTTTTTTTTTTTTTTTTTTCATGCAATACCTTCCACCTAGCTGACTCGGAAGAGTAACTCGACGGCAACTTTTCAATTCTCGAACTACTCGGCATATCGATTGTCATAAAAATATAAGGAATGCAGGAAACTGCCGACATACTTTGAGAGAGTGATCTCTTGTGACTGGCATTGTGTTATTTCATATTTCTGTTTACCAACTTCTTTCACCTCAAAAGGGAAATAGTAAAACAGATTTTACTTCTATCGAATTCAGCATCTAACAACTTCGTTTCCTTGCCTGGCGAAAAAGGCATATTTCACGCATACTGCACATGCCAGTGCGAAACGCGGTTTCGCTTAATGGGTCGAGGAATACCATTTGTTTCACGTGATCCGCCCTTGAAGTGAGTCCTTTTGCTTCATGGCTTTACAAACGAGGCATATTTTTCGTAAGCTGCATCCAATGTTTCTGCGGTAAGCGCCGTTTTGTTTAGATGTTTGGAAGAACGCAATATAAATCAAGTCATCCGCGCTTGAAATTGGCTGTTTTGCTTCAGGGCTTTAAGAAAGAGGCATATTTCCCGTATACTGGACTTCATATTTCTGTGTAAAGCGTATTTTTGCTTTAAGGGTTGAAGAACGAGATTTGAAGTCATCCGCGCTTGAAGAACGAGGTATATTTCAAGTCCTTCGCGTTTGTTATGGGCTGTTCCGCTCCATGGCTTTAAAATCGATGCATATTTAGCCATATACCACGCTTGCTGCATTTGTCTACGTAAAGCGCCGTAAGTCGCTGCAAGTCATTCGCGCTTGATATGAGCTGCTTTGCTTCATGGCCTAAAAAAAAAAAGGCTTTTCCCACGTACACTACATTTGACATTGTTTAAGTAGAAAAGCGAGATGTATTTTTCGTTGTCCGCGCTTGAAATGAGCTGTTTAGCTTCATGGCCTAAAGAACGGGCCATATTTCATGCATACTGCATTTGTTGGCGTAAAGCGCTGTTTTGCCTAAAGGCTTGATAAACAAGTTTTACTTTCAAGTCATTCGCGCTTAAAACGAGCTGTTTCGCTTCATGGCATTAAGAACGAGGCATATCTGGTTTATACCGCATTTGTCTGAGGTTAGGTTTATCACAAGACCAGTAATTTCGATGAACATGGATGGACTCCGCTGGATTCCCATTGACCCCATTGAATTCCATTCGACGAATAGGTATCGGTGAATACCATCGAAGAACATTTCTGCCCTTTCTGCTTTTTATCTGACTTCCGGTACTCTTTGGCGTCAAACGTATCTTGCATTTGTTGGAAGGTGTTACGAATAGAATCCTGCTTATTCCATCGAAAAACTACGTTGCCATTGTTGTGTATTGGAAATGTATGGCAAAAAGACGATATCTACCCTTTATCTTTTCTTTTCTTTTTTTTTTTTTGCATTTTTAGTAACATTTGAAACTGCGCTTTGGAAAATGTGCCAGTTGGGATATAGGATTTAAATCCTACCATTTTAACCTCAGTTGGAGTAGTAGAACTTTTCTAACTCTATCTGGAGCAAAGAGTGAAAGGACGAGCTTATCACCGGAGTTAACAAGAGAGCACTGTAAATAACAAGGTTTTTAAGGTCTTATCCGATACAATCCAGTAAAAATTAAATTATGAATGTGCTACTTACAGTTCAGTCAACTCGGAGTTGTTATTGAAGATTCCAGGTGGTAGCTGCTTGATTTGGTTTCCATTTAAGTACCTACGAAATGGACATATAACTGAATATTTGATCTCCTTTATGGGTTATCATAATTCCTAGGTGAGTCTGTGTCATTGTGTCCTTTTAACCATTTTTTCGCTGAATTAGAGTTAGTTAAATTAAACTGGGTATGGGTCAAAATATCATTCAAAATATGTTGTTAAATACCTTAATGTGCAACGCTGATATTCAAGAGTCCATAGGGGTAGAGAGTAGAAGGAAGATGGAATTCACTTATTTTTCTATACCCGTCAAATTAAAATTTCCTTTCCAATAGCTAAGATTTGAACCCTTCAGCGGTGAGTAAAATGCGTCTCTCTAACCAATAGTATCTAATATGAAAGAATAACTGAGTTACTCACAATACTGTTAACTTGGTGTTGTAAGTGAAGATACCAG